ACGAGAAGCTTCGTTCCCCACTGGGCATCTCTAGCTTTGACACGAGCGAGATGGGTGACTCTGGCAATCATATCCAACACAGCATTCGCAATAGCTGGCCTAAGGGAGGGGTGGTGCCTAGCAAGTTCGTCGAAATTGCCGCCTGCATTCTGGGCCACACTATCGTCTGCTGCCATCACGCGCACATGCTCAGGGCTCTCGAATATCTCGAAGTAGCTATCGAATGCACGTGATGCAACAACCATCTTCATCCCCTGATTGTTTAGTGAAATTGCATTTAGAACGGTTGGCACGATCGTGATAGGTTCCAAGTTCGGTAGAATTCCGCGGGCTAAAGGTCCATCGCGAGGCGCTTCCAACTCCTCTTGCGACGGCGGATGCGAGCGGTTGTCAGGCTCGAGGAGATCAGGTGTAGGGCCGTCTGAAGGCGAGTCAGGACTCTCGTCTCGGTTCCCTTCCTGGCTTGAATCCGTCCCAGCGAGCTCACCCGTGGGTACTGGACGGCCAGTCAAAGCTTGAAGATAGCTCTGGACCAATCCAGCTTCAGAGATGGCCGCGAAACTGGTTGGGTCGTTGTTGAGGAAGTCACTCAAGATGATAACAGCATTTGTCCAAACCAGGGAACCGAACTTGCCCATATTCTCGATAATCTCACGTAGACTGCGAAGCAGAGCAGACTTATCGACGAGATTCCTCAATAATCGATCAGTGTTTCCACCAAAAGCAAAAGAATTTAGGATCAAATGATGGATGAACTTCAAGAGATGTTTAAGGCTTTGTTGTTGGCAATAGGGAATCTCGTAGTCAACAATCTGGGAGCGGTGATCGGCAGGTGTTCCCTTGCCCTCTGCAACAAGCTTTCCTGCGAATTCAACTTCATGGGTAACAAGATTGGTAATAGCCTCAAGACCGTCGACATGAATCAATGTCTGGAAGGAATTCTGAACGCTGTATACGAGGCTGTCCAAGAACGCTACTAAAGAGCCGTACGTTCGTTCGGCTATGTTAGATCTAATGTTGAGGATCTCGACAATGATATCCAACAAGCCGGCAGATATGATTTCAGGCATGCCACGCGTAGTGTTGTTTGCCATGGACATCGTAATATGCAGAGTGAGAGAGATGAGAGTGTCACGCCATTCGTCTTGTTCGTTATATTGCTCCCCAGAGTCGTCCTTTTTCATCTCGTCAACCGCCTTCCTAATGACATAAAGTAGCACACCATGGTTCACGGTCGCATTTAATGCCGAGAAGACATCAGGTAGCTTGTGATGAAAGTTCGAAATGGCCTCCAATAATGAGAACGCGATGGACTGTAGATCAATAGGTACCACAGCTGCGTCATCAGCGGCAGGGTGAATTAATTCGGCAAGCTGATACACTAGCTGGAAGCGCCGTGGCTCATCGTTATCCTGTTTGAGCACTTTCTCAATGAATGTAGGCTCTATGTGAATATATGCCAAGTTCTGTATGGCCAACAAGCGGGCCTTAAGCGCCTGTCGTCGAGACTCGACCGATCCTGTGAGGGCCTTCGCAACCCTCAGGCGATTCAAAAGCTCATATCGAGCATCTTTTGGTAGATCCGCAGGGGCTCTTGCGAGTAGTTCATAGATCGATGAAGAGGATACCACAGCGTGGGATATCTCCAAAACGTTCTGACCAGGAGGGCTACTCTCATCGCGTCCTACAGCCGGTGATCGAGAGGCCAATCCCGGGCTCTCCTCCGATGCCCCCTGGCGGCCCGCACGGGGAGTGGATTGAGTCGCCGCCGATGTGCTACTTCGTCTTAAAGGAGTTGGCGTAGAGGGTGCGTTTGAAGTTGCACCGCGATCCGGTAGAGACTGCTGCGCCAGTCCCAGAGTAGCGTCCGAAGTAGGATAATACGTAAGCTTCACATCACCCCAACCACTCCAACGCGCCTGCGAACCGGAGGTCTCGGTAGAGTCAGCCTTGGCTAAGGCGCACAAGTCGTTCGCATACATAGTGGCCACGTTCTTGGAGGCACCGCCATGGGACTTCTCTTTATTCTTACCAACAGAAGCAGGGGTGGAAAGAAGGGTAGACTCTAGTGGTTTTGAGAGGGGAGTCTTGACGAAAGGCTGAGATAGGTGCTGTACACGATCTAAATCTATGTTGTAGTGGTTCGTGAGGAGAGTCGTATGTACTTGTCGAGTCGTCATTCCATGCATGCGCTTGACGGAGGCCTGGTAACGCTGAGCTAGCTCCACACCAACGCGCAAGGTGGCACAGATGATGGTGAAATCGGTGCTATTTAGGAGATCATTCAAGTGAGAGCTGCTGGCGTATATGCTGCGATTTCCGCAATGGTCAAGCAGCATCTGAGTGAACTTCAAAATAGCCACCACAAGCTCAACATCGCCATCTTTGGCATAGCCTATTTCCGACAGACTCTTGTACTTTCCCGGCTGCTCTTCATTGTTCGCCGCGTCAGCTTCCAAGACTTCGCAACCGAAATCTCTAGTCTGAGGGCCCTCATTCAATTTGTAAATAGAGCAGAACGATTCTAGGATACGGTCGAATCGATTCAATACTGGTATCCAATGATATAAGTCGCCTCTAGGGAAAGGCCATCGGGAAGGGAATGAGGCAAGGACTTTAGGTAGGTGAGGTAAGCGTATGAATGTCGCTCGATCAACGAATTGTTGCAGCCAAGGAGACTAAAGAAAGAAAGAAAAAGGTAAGCTAACTAAGTATAAAACAATCAAAGTATCACGAAAGAGGACTTACCAGCGTCTCCCTGTGCTTGGGTTGGATGGTCTTCGATATTCTTCCCATGCTGAAGACCAGTGCGGCAAAGCCGCGAAGAATAAACCAGCTCCCCCTCCACTACCAGGGCTCAGGTAATCGGCGACGACAATTCGACTTGCCGCGTGGGAGCGCCCAATATGACTTGGACGGCTCCTTTTGTATGAGATGTCGGAGCTGCTCCTTAGCACACGAGGTGGGGGTGTGATAGAACCCAGTTAAATTGTCGGATTAAGCCTCGTTCCCGGGTGTCAGCCTTGCGGGTATCGAATGAAAAAGAGCTTCGGTTTCCGGAAAGGTTCCGATGTTCTCAGAACCAATGTGAAAAGATGGTAGAGATGGAATAAACACACTACGGACCGCGGAAACACAAAAGGTTTGTTGAGTCCTAGAAAGTAGATACGCGAGGGGCGAATGAGGGGTGGGTGGATGATGATGTGAGGTAGATACGATTTCCGGCACGGCTGTTAAGAAGCTGGAATTAGGTCGGTGCAAGCGGGTGCAGGCCGCTATACCGTCGTCTTCAAGTTCAACAAGGGTGCCTAGGTAGTTACTAGATACAAGCGGAGAGGAATGAAGTTGTCCGCATGTATAATCAGATAACTCACTTAACTTAATCGTTGATGAAATGCAGAATAAGTCGGGATCGAGAAGTGTTGAAGTGTTTAGAAGGAAAAGAAAAAAAAAAAGAAGGTTTAGCTTTTGATGTTTGAAAGGTCGCGGCTGATCGGCCACTGGCTTTTGCGTAATGATTGCGGTGTGGGGCAAAGGTGGTGCTTGTTAGCAGCCGTGGGATTGCCTCAAGGCACCTATTAGTACGAAGGTGGGGCAGCAAACTAACAGGCACGGTAGCTATTACCAGAGACGAGGTACTTGCACGCTATTGAATTTCCGTACGGAGTGCGTGGGACCTGGGTTTTTAGGTACCCACATAAATATTTCAACCTTAGAAGTTACAAGCGCGCAATAGGTACTATTGTAGGTAGTAGACTAGTAGTACTGTAGTAGGTAGCCCTGGAGCTTCTCCAAGGACTATTATAAATATTACCAAAAAGCCCGCGGAGCCTTCGGTTGCTTAGAAGAGCACTACACTACATATTACCTAAGTACCTACACATCAAGCTAGCTAATTAAGTATTGTTCACGCGAGCTACTTCACTTACTATAATATCATGGATGTATCAGTATAATGTCAGTCTCTGGTCTTCAGGGCTGTGAAGCAATCACATCTACGGATGTCATTTAATTCACACCTGCAGAGTTTTCACTCGGAATCGCAGCCCAACGTCCAACCAAGTCATCACCACACCTGCATGTATCGTGCCTCTATGTACGTACAAATGGAGACCATTGCTGCCCAGGACTTTCTTCAAGCCCTCATCGAGCCCTAGCCGGATCGCCAAGGTTTTCCGTAAGTAGGTTAGGTGTAAACTCCCTGTGTTGCATGCAGATATCTACTACTATTACAGTATTACTACTGCTACTAGGTACCAGTAGAGATTGTTAACTGAGCCCTTCAAGGTTGATTCAGACATGGGGGAACAGGTCAGTTCGACTCGTAACATCTAGGTATCCCTCGGAACACGAGATCCTCCCCATTATCATGATCTACGAGTCATACCCAACGTGTTGTTGAAGTATCAAGTGTACCTACTAGGTACATCAGGTAGCCCATCATTGATCTGTGATATCGATGTCTAGGTAGATACCTACCAGGTATCTAACGACTGTAAACTTGGTAACACGTAGGTACTAAATTGAAATTGGATAGGTATCACTGTTGAAGAACTTTTAGTACCTACCTCCTACCTACCTAGTAGTAGGACCTAGGTACGTAGCTAAACGTAGCTAACTTGGTAATCATACATTGACTTATCTACCTAGGAAAGCTCGGAATAAGACAAATATCTTATATCGATGTACTACTATCTGGGATATGTGCGCCTGGCTAACCCGGTGCCAACCAAAAAAAAATCGAATTATTATTTGACCGCGTTTTACAGGTGTATCTACTATATGGATAATATATACCTAGGTAGGTAGGTACCTATAGGTACCAAATCCCACGGATCAGCTTCCAAGCGCATACATATGTAGTAGAAAGCGACTTTAGCGCCGAAGCCACCCGCACTTCTCCAAGCTAAATCGAGGGGATCTTCTGGACTCGCCTAGATTTCGTCTGGGCTTCCAACCTTGATAATCCTCTAAAAACCCCAGAATCCTCACAAATCACCGGGCTTGTGGTTTAGTGGTATAATACTCCCTTAGCACCTTTAGATGCAACGTCATACTGTTCCCCAGTATGAAAATAGCTCTAATAACCCCTGGGAGTGGTCCGGGGTTCGATTCCCCGCGAGTCCATCAATTGGAGGTTTAATTCCTCCTGTACCATCATTATTTGTTGAATTTTTGATCTTTTTGATGATTTGATGTATAATCAGGAGTCGAATATAGAAGAAGCCGGGGAATGCGTGCACGATAATACTAGGTACTTTCCTCCGGTATTTTTTGTCGGTCGCATATGTTAGGTAGGTACGTTTTTTAAGAGGAAGGAGACCTTCTAGCACCTTCCTTAGATGTTCTTCTTTTTTTCCGATGGTCGTCGCTCCTCACAACGAACCTCTACCAGGCACATTCACAACTCACGATACTACACAACATCCAGCAACATCCATTCATTTATTTTCAATTAATTTGTATATACTAGAGTAGAGTAGGTAAGTAAGTTAGTGAGTAGATACACGTTGACAATCACGCAGGCGCAACTCTCAATCACCTATCCAGCACCTATCCGGTTTACTGCTTCTTAAACTCCTCATACTGCTCGTAGACCGCCAGCTCGAACAGCCCCATCAATTTATTCACCTGCACATCTCCCGGCGGCATAAGATTCGTGAAGAGAGCGCCACAGAGGCCAGCTTCTCTGTCGATCCACCAGATCAGGTTTGGCATTCCGCCCCATGTCATAGTCCCAGCCTTTCTCCTTCCAACTTCATCTTTGGTACCGATCTCCCCGCCAAGGCCGTAATCCAGAACTTGATGGTCCATATCGAACGAGTTGCCAGCTATTCGTCGCCAAAAATCGTTACCCCCAACCAGCGCGTTCAAGACTTTCTTAGCCTCTGGGCTGAGCTGCGGTCGGAACATCTCATCCACCGTCTCCTTCTTGAGAACCTTACCGTCGTTCGCGCACAGGCTCTGCAAGATTTTCAAGTAACTCTCCGCGGACCCGAAACCCGCTCCTCCCCCGTATATATCTTTCTTATTGCCGAACATTTTCATGAAGTCAGGTATGGGAACTAGCTTCCCGCTCTCATCCTTGGAGCTCATTCCTATCATTCGTGCCTTCATCTCCGGGTTTGACTCGGGGAAGAAGCTCAAGTACTTCGCACCTAGCGGATCCCAGATGTTGGCCCGCATGTAGTCTTCGAGGGAAAGACCGGAGAGCCGTTCGACGATTTTGCCGGCCCAATCCAAACCTGTGCTGTAATACCATTCCGTCCCAGGTTGGAAAACTAGAGGCTCGGAAAATTCTGTCACGACGGTATCGAGGGGCTTCTCGGGCGGGCCCCTGAATTTCGCCAGCTCTTTAAGTTTAGGTGAAAACAACGACGCAGTGAGTCCCGATGAATGTGTGAGGAGGAGCCTTTTGATGGAATCGCCAGTTAGGTCCATTGCCAATATACGAGATGTTGTGGCGTACTCACCTCAAGGTTAACTTGCCCTGTCTTTCCTCATACTGAGGCTTCCCCTCGCTATCAAATCCAGTAAAGACTTTCAGCTCGTTGACCTCTGGGATTACCCTCCCGACATCCTCGTCTAAGCTGATCTTGCCTTGCTCAACTTGTTGCAGCGTAGCGATAGATGTCATGAGCTTGGTGCAGGAAGCCATCCACATCACGCTATCCGTGGCGATCGTCTCCCCGTGTGCATTTTTACCGAACGCTTTCTCGTACTTGAATTTTCCTGTGGCATCGGCAGCGACGAGTGCCACGCCCGGTAGCGTGCCATCTTCGCAAGCAGTCTTGAAGATAGATTCGTGAGAGTATTCAGTCATTTTGCACTGGTATGAAATAATCAGAACTTTCTATTGTCAAGAGGTGTGAATAACACGACTAGAGACTTGGCTTGTTGACAGAACTGGCGACTTCACGAGTTCTACTTATACCTATGTTCGATGAGCCGAGGTTGGGATGGACTAGATTCGTAGCTATCCCACCTACAGGCGGTATGCGGCACAGCACCAATATTCCTCTACGCTATGCTCACAGACTGTGACTCTCAATTCAGCTATGAACCCACTTCGGATATTTTAGGAGTTGATTCTTCCAGCAAACGTAGACCAGATGACCAGCAGGATGACTTATCGACGGATGAATTCAAGATCCGTAAGTAGGTATAGTCGGACTGGTCTAGCTTAATTTGCCCGTAGTCCGTGAAATCCTTCAGGGATATGTGGTGCACCCTTACTTAGAATTTTAAAACCCACTTGCAATTGACCTCCCCGCTAAGTGAGTCAGGGCTATTATATCATCTTCAAATCCAGCTGCCTAGGTGGGTTCACGGGTCAATCCTATGCTACCAAGCCGGTCTTGGACTTCAGTCTGTTTCGGAATATCGGTAGTTTATATTGTCCTCTCCGAACTCAACCCTCCGGTGACTTGATGCAAAGCCGAGAAACCGTAAACGAGCAATAACTTTGATATTATATACAGCGGTGACTCATAAAATAAACAAGTTTCACTCTATTTCATTTCAGTCGAATTGGAGAATAGTATCTTACGTTAATTTCTCGGAGAGATCACGAAGACAGACAGCGAACTACCCATCATGAATTCCGGCATAAAACACCACGAGATCTTCTTTTCAAAAGTATAGTAATTGGGCTATATACACTCTTCTAACTTTATTATATATGAACATACATACACTATCTATCTTTGTCAGCATTGGTGTTGAGTGGCCGCCTCATAAACTAAAGGGCGCAGTGAGAATTAAGTTTTCATGATCTATGATTAAGCATGATTTATTAAAGGCATATAGAAATAACTCTGTCAACTCTCTTCAGATGCAGCGGGTTCCTACTACAAGACTGGAAGTTTTTTTTTCGAAAAGGTTTGAAAAAAAAACATGTTACCTTCGTTGGCAATACCTGCTAGGAGGTTTTGTGAAAAGGGGCTTCCATTTATTGACGGATAAAGAACACAAACGTCAATATAGTCAATAACATCTAATTATGAGCTTGTAATTGCTGCTTATTGCTTCCATAACATCACCAACGACCAAGACCTGAGACTCTGTCAAGTGATCCTAGTGTGATAGCATTAGAGGTACTTTAGGTTCATGAGTAGTTGAGTGGCCCCTTTTTAAGGAATGTTCTGTCCCTACAACGACTCACTACACAAGCGGTAATATCTAGGGGTTCATCACATCCAAATTCAAGTAATCGACTTTCTCTCCCTAATTATTATATGAATCGTATCGAACTAGTGACCTGGAGATGGCCGCGATCGTGTCTGACGGGGAGCAACGTGTTTGTGTAGTAGTCAGCATATGCTATGATCGCTTTGTGTAGGTATATGTATTGTCAAAGCTATTTTAAGCACAGCCGGATTCTAGAACTTGAGGAGTCTTTGTTTGGCTGGGTGAGTCGACGAGGCTTGTTATCAGGTAGTGCACTTTACTCGTCTTAGTCGAGCCTCGAGCTCTAGATGTAGATAGGTTAGATGACAAGAGATACAGGTCAATCAATAAGATATTGAATTTCATCGCAAACCTTTGAAGACGTCAGATATCGCTAAGCCGGGACTCGATATTGCATGCAACTACGTGAGGATGTCACGATAATTATGAGAATTATATTTTATATATGTTGTATAGGGAAACTACATAGAAAAGTGTCGCTGATTAGAGGTAACCGTCCAAGATATAGAATAGAATTGCTGTTGCTCGTCGAGAGAATGTGGATGACGTAAATGCCGCTTGATTTGGCGCCATCACATGGCCTGTCGTACAAATATGTACCTATATATTGTCAGAGACTGAGACCTACGCTTTCTGATTGGACAGTGACTAAGACATGGCGTCCCAAATGACTCCGGGTGGTTGAGTAGGTACCCAGCAGGCCCCGGTCACGACCCGGCGGAACGGTGGTCAGCTGAGTAGGTGCTAACGATTGAAGGTTCTTTGAAAGCCGGCTAATCGCCCTACGAAAGGTTAAATTTGGAAATACCATATGAAAGGGAGCTGTTGATGGGATAACGGGATTCCTAGCTAAACCTAAATGTTGAACGGTTGAAAGTCTCAGTGTACCTCCCAAGGTAAATGCGCTGGCTGGCTTGGCGTAATTACATAGCAAAAAGGGATAAGTATTATTAATGGTCATTTTATCCTGTCTTAAAATGTAGATGTTGTAAAAAAAAAGGTATAAATCTGTCAAATAATCGTAATAGCAAGACTCCTTAAAAATAAGACCATTTTTATCAGATGCATACTACTAGAAATACCAAGGGGGTTGGTCAAAATTCAAGATATTGGCCTAAGTGGTTCGTTCCTCATGCACGCGGAAAGGGGTCGTATCGATTCTAAGACATGACTGGCCAATCAAACTTCTGGATCTATGCAGCTTCTAATAGTAGATGTGTAAATGTACAGAGTACATCCCTAACTATATCCCTCCAGACTGGAATACGACTTGATAACGTGAGTCTTTTCTTTCACATGAAGCTTTTCTTTGTACTTATTCTAGAAGAAATAATAACACATGAGGATAATGACCCTTTATGGCGATCAGGGCGTTGAAATTCCGGGAATTAATATGTAGATAAGAAATTTGGGGTCATGCCAACAGATATGGATAGGCTTGAATAATGCTACCTAGTAACCATAACCAGATTTGAAGTTCGAGCGGTGATGTCACTCATAATTATCGGTTTACAACGGAGAGAAGAGGACGGAGGGATAATGATGAATGATGTACAAGTTAAAATTGTGATCATAGATCTTCAGGTACAAAGCCTACAATACCTACCTATGTAGACCTTCAATTTCATCTTGCAGCTACATGCATCTTGTGCTACCGAAGTTAACGCAAGTTGCCTCTGCTTTTTGTTATGTGTTGCGAGTTTGTACTACGTTGACGATACATGGTAATGTATCCATGGATGCAGTAATACAGTCTGCAGTAGAGGTAGTATGTAGAATCGTGGATAGGTACAGGGTGGGATCCAAATGTTCGACGAACATTGGAACCCCTGAACCAACGTAGCAGCCAGGCCAGCCCAGAAACGGGCAGCTAATTGGAAAGGTTTCTAGCGCCACGCTAAGAGACTAGGTACCTGGCTACAGCGTAGTACGGCACA